AGTAAAAGCAGTTTTTCATTTTTTAAACACCATTTTAAGGTTTAAAGTATTAGCCCCTTTAAGCTATTTTTTCCTGATAGTCTACAGAACAAACCATCGTTATACAATGACTTGCCTAATTACCCTAACCTGCCTAGTTAACATAATTACCCTGGTTAAGCCTTTAAATGTCACTTTAAGCTGTATAGAAGTGTCTTTAAAAATATCTAGTCAAATATTATTTACTGTCATCAAGGCAAAGATAAAATAAATCATTTATTAGAAATGAGCTATTAAAACTATTATATTTACAAATGTGTTGAAAAAAAAAATCTTCACTCCGTTCAACAGAAATTGGGGAAAAAATAAACAAGGGGGGCTAATAATTCTGACTTCATCTTGATGTTTTGGCATGATGTATTTTTTGAAATTTTACCAATGGCTTGCCACAAAAAAGGTAATATTTTTTTATTGATTGCTCTCCCTCAAGTTGTTTCAAAGCTTTAGGTGTTTCTTTCTTCTGTTGAATAGTAGGAAAAAGAAACACCATGGAATATAGTAGAACAGCTTTTTTCTAAATATCTTTTTGTGTTTAGCAGAAGAAAGAGACTCATAAAGGTTTAGTAAATGATGATAAATGAGTTTTTATTTTTAGGTCAGCTATGCCTTCCAACTCTATTCTCTTACATTATTTAGGGTTATTAGTATATCTACATTTTTTTTATGTAAAAAAAAATAATAATAATTGAAGTTAGGTTTACACTGAATAACATCTAAGAACATGCATACTCCGGATCAATTCTCCTGATTACTTATTAAAAAAAATAATAGTAAAAGAAATAGGATATTGTCCTCGCTGAACATGCCAATTTATTATTTTTTTTAAAGTTGGCATGAAATCAAAATAACAATTTTATTTTTATTTTTTTGCTACAACACATTATTAGTCTTAAGGTGAACAATCAATCCATGCACGTTTACTCACAGCAGCAATTTCCAGTTTACTTGAACTTGTTTTTTATATGTTTATGATTGGATGTAATGCTAAAAATCACAGCCTGGATACCTTTTGCAGTTTGGATTGTTTTTAAACTGACATTTTACTTTGATAAGTGTGAAAACTACTTGGATACAATATGCTTCAAAATCAGTTTTGTAAAATTAATTTGATGTGGACACAAATATGGAACATCTTTCCTTTAATCATATGTTTTTCTAATATAATATTAATAAATATTAATAAAATGGATCAATTAAAATCAGTTTTTTTTCCCTCTCCGTTGTTGTCGCCACTGGCTTGCATGGTTCAGGATCTGTAAAGCTACACATCGATGAATTTGCTCTTCAGTGTTTGAACTCTCAGTAATGATTTCAAACCATACTGAACTGGGCTAAACTGAACTGAACTTAAACACTAAAAACTGAACTACCCTGATCCAGTTACTAAGACCATTTATGTGAAGCTGCTTTGACACAATCTACATTGTAAAAGCGCTATAGAAATAAAGATGAATCCAATATAAAGAAATGTAAGTTTTTTACAAATGTATACAGTAACATAAGAGTTTACTGTAGGAAAAAAAGGAATACTACAGTATTTATTACGGTTATTCAGTAAAAATTTGTTAAAAGAGTGTTGTAAATACTATAATACACTTTACTAGAGTATGGTTTAAAAACGCTATAGTATTTGATTTAAATTACTAGAGTATTCATCATGTCAGTACATTGATATTTGAATAAAATATATTTGAAGATTGCATATCTACAAAAAAGTGAGCCAATTTTGTCTGAAGTAGTGTTCTTACAAGTATACTACTTATACCTGCATGAAAAATACACTAGGAAATTTCTATGAAATACTGTAGTGTTTTTGAATCATACTATAGTAAAGTACTTCAGTTAATCTGTTGTGGTTATTCTATAGTTGTAACACAACTTTAAACACACTACCAAATACTCTTTTCTACAACTATATACAGCAACATACAAGAGTTTACTGTAGTAAAAATGTTAGTATATTACAGTTTTTACAATTGATAGTTTAGTTAATAGTACTGTACACGCAACAAAAAAAATGTTACCTGTTAAAACTACTTACAGTTGAAAGCAGAAGTGTACATAGACTGTATAAAAAGGCTTATAACCATTTAACAGAAAGTCAGATGTTAATGTGGCTAAACCTTTTCTCTTTTAGGTAAATTGGAATTATCACATTTGTTTCTGTTATGCTTAATAGCAGAATAATGAGAGAGATGTTTTTGAGAAATTGTTATAACTTTTCTTGAAAGTCAAGTTTACATACAATAGGATTATTATGCCTCTGAAAAAGCTCAGATGATGATGTCTAGGTTTTGGAAATTTATGATTGACAACATTTGAGTTAATTGGAGGCAAAACTGCAGAATATTCAAAGAAAACCTCAAACACACTGATTCCTTGTGTGACAACATGGGAAAATCAACAAGCCAGAATCAACAAAAAAGCCAGATTACAATTTGCTGAATTACACTACAGAATATTTTTGGAGACATGTCCTGTGGTCTGATGGAGCTAAGATTGAACTGTTTGGCCATAATGACCAGTGTTACATGTGGAAGAAAAAAGGGAAACCTTACAAGCCTAGGAACACCATCCCAACTGTGAAGTATGGGGGCGGCAGCATCATGTTGTGGGGCTGTTTTGCTGCAGGAGGGACTGGTCCACTTCACAGCATAGATGGCATCATGAACAAAGAACATTATCTTAATATTAATCTGACTCAGTAACACCAATTCTGTCTGGAGGAATGGGCCAAAATTCCTGCAAGCTATTGTGAGAAGCTTGTGGAAGGATACCCAAAACATTTGACCAAAGTTTTACAGTTGAAAAAAGCAAAGCTAAAAAATACCAAGCAAATGTATGTAAACTATTGACTGTCTAGAAATGAATAAAAAAATATCCAAAAAAACTCTCGTTATTCTGGCATTTAGAAAAGGTAAATCATTTAGGTAATTCTAACGGACCTAAAATAGTCAACATTTAGTATGATTCACCATCAGACATTTAAAAAAAATGGTTATGTTCATTTTTTAGTGTAAACTTCTGGTTTCAACTGCATGTAAAATGAGCTGAAATAACAACATGATCATGTTGACCAAACACAAATTAAGTTAACTTAACACTTTTAACAAATGTATGTGGATAGAACATAAAAAAAATTAAGTTGTCCCAATGAAATGTGAAGAATTGTGTTCGTTTCAGTTCATTTTAAATAAGTAGTTTGAACAAGCAAAAAATCTGCACACAACGAGTTAAAAATTAAGCTTCGTATCACAGGAATAAGTTACATAAGAAACATATTTTTAAATCATGAAGCAATTTTTCAATATTTAAGTAAACCTCGGTATGTAGAGTTTTGTAATAGGGGATGTAAATGTATTTTATTTACTGCATTCTGTATTATGATTATTTAATACATGCACATATATACAGAGAACAAATGATTACCCTGCTGTGACATTATTATTCTTAATTTAAAAAAAAAAATAAATATATATATATATATATATATATATATATATATATATATATATATATATATATATATATATACACACACACACACACACACACACACACACACATATATATATATATATATATATATATATATATATATATATATATATATATATATATATATATATATATATACATATATTATATATATATATGCATTTGAACAAAACAGATTAATTAAACAGATATATTTATTAAAATAATATTTTAGTCACAGAACATCCTTAAAAATGCAAAAATAAAACAATAAATTAAAATAAAACTACTACAAAATTTTTTTATAAATTTCTTGCTTCTCTTGATTTTTGCTATTTTTGCAAATTTTATTTAAGATTTTTCCCTTACATAAATTTTGGCGCCCAATTTTTAAACCAGTATTGCGAGTTATTTTGTCAGATTAATTTGTTGAAGATTTCCCAGGATGGGTTGCTGCTGGAAGGGCATTATTTTATCATGGTCATGATGACAGTAAATAATATTGGTCACACTTTACAATAAGGTTCATTAGTTAATGCATTTACTAACATGAACTTATCATGAACAACACATGTACAGCATTTATTAATCATAATTGAACATTTACTAATACATTAATAACATTCATGTCTAGCTTGTTAACATTAGTTAATGCACCATGAGTTAACATGAACTAACAACGAACAACTGTATTTTCATTAACTAACGTTTATTAACATGAATAAATACAGTAGTAAATGTATTGTTCATTGTTTGTTCATGTTAGTAAATGCATTAATTAACATTAACTAATGAACCTTATTGTAAAGTGTGACCTTAATATTTTCTAAATATTTTTCAAGACACTTCTGTGCAATTTAAAGAGACATTTAAAGGCTTAACTAGGTTAATTAGGTTAACTAGGCAAGTTATGGTAATTAGGCAAGTTACTGTATGACGATGGTTTGATCTGTAAACAATCAAAAAATATAAAGGAGCTAATAATATTTATCTTAAAATGATTTTTAAAAGATTAAAAACTGCTTTTATTATAGCCGAAATAAAACAAATAAGACTTTCTCCAGAAGAAAAAGTATTGTAGAAAATACTGTGAAAATTTCCTTCCTCTGTTAAACATCATTTGGGAAATATTTAAAAAAGAAAAGGGAAATCACAGGAAGGCTAATAATATGGACTTTAACTGTATAACCTTACAGACTGACCTTACAGTCTCCAATGTTTCAGATAACACTGGAAGAACAAACTGATGAAATGAGACTCATGATAAGCTCCGTCTGCCCTAAAAGACAATATCAGCCAATTAACTGATTTAATTGAATCTTTCCAGAGGTTTCCACACCAGCGATGACCTGCTGATCTCCTTTAATTCATCAATTCCCCCTCAGAGGTCGTGTTTGTCAGCCGATGGCCTATCTGAAATCGATCAGACTTCAGCCATTATCTCTTTGCTCCACATCCAGAGGAAAACCCACAGCGGCAGAGGAGTTTAAACTGACATTTGAAGACTGCCGACACCTCCAGTCCCATTTTGGATAATGTGATCTGAGGAGGCATAAACATCCAGCGTGAGCCCGAGGCTGGTGAAACTAAATGAAGAGAGAAGGGAATGTGAGACTGAAGGAATTATGGGTAAAGATCTTTCCAAGATGAACATCGCTGAGGCCGAGAAAATGCTGCCAATCACGTCTGGAAGAAAAATAAGCAGGACAAATAAGAAAAGGACTGGAGTTCTGAAGAAAGATAGCAATGTGGTGGACCATTTACAGCAGGTAAATGTCATATCTTTGTTAATAATAATAATAATATAACTAATTCATCTTTTTTATATAAAATTGGTAATACTTTAAATTAGCCAGATATATACATTAGATGTCGCCTACCTTGCTGTTGTCTATTAGAAGGAATGCGTCATTAGAGCAACCATTTTAGCACAGGGTAGCGCTCCTTTGAAATGAATGCGAGACCAAGCTGCAGTGGAGGACTGTGGCCATCCAAAGCCAAAGATATACACATATATCTATGATAGAGAGTCTTCCCGGTGGTCAGTATGCAAATATTTTTTAAATTACGAATATTATAACTGTACATCACTTTTCTACATTAATGGATCAGTGATCACGTGGGCATTCCTGACAAAAAGCTTGTGTTTGTGTGTGTGGAAATGTACTATCCACCCTCCCTGTTAAATTTGAACTAATCCTAGTCCTGAAACACCGACCCTCTCCTGCTTTTACTTCTCATACTGTTGGAGGGAGCAATTCGTTAGTGAATGAATCTCCGTTATGAACAACTCGTTCACTTAATCGATTATAACAATAATACAATAATTCAACTTTCTGGCACTGCAGCATCCCTGATTTTATTCAGCAAACAATGCAAAGCTGAGTATTTATTGCGAGCTGGTGCTACTTTGCTTTATGATGAGTGCAGTAAGTGACTGTATTATCATCAATAACGTTGCCTGTTTCACACAAAAGTTCATAACATACAAAAACGTAAAAAACGAAATCTTACCTATGAAATGTTTTGCCTTTGTGCTTTGTTTTCTTTGTTTGCTCGTTACTGCACCCGTAGACAGCGCTAAAGTCCCACATCTTTACATAGTAACACTGTCTTGACTTGTACGGTTGAATGACTTTTGTCCTGTAAGCACTGTACCAATGTGGCGGCGCTATTGACGCATGCTCAGGGTCCCTATGCAATATCTAGTGTATATATATATGTTATTTAGCAAGGATGCATTAGATCAGAGATGCCTAAACTGGGCTCTTTGATTTGGCCAGCCGTCCATTTATTGCAACCTTTTATTTGTTTGTTTTATTTTTAAGCTACTATCCGAAACTAAATGTTTCAATTGAAATGGTGTAAATTAATCAGATTTAGCTTCAAATGTATATATAACGCATAGAGGACAATGCAGAGACTTTAGTAAGCGAATCAAGGGAAAGGTAAATTCTAAAGGCAAATCAAGGCAAAGGTAAAAAATGGATGGATGGATGGATGAATAGACTGGATGGATGGATCAATGAAGAGATGATGAATAGATTATGGATGGGTGGATAGATGGATGGATGAATAGACTATGGATTGACGAATAGACTGAATAAAATAAAAATTGATAAATAGATGACGGATGGATTGATGGATAGACTATAGATGGATGGATGGATAAAAAGACTTTATGGGTGAGTGGATGGATGGATAGATGGATGAATAGCCTAGATGGATGGATGGATGAATAGACTATAGACAGATGTATAGATGAATAGACTAGATGGATGGATCAATGAAGAGATGATGAATAGACTATGGATGGACGGATAAATAGATAACATATGGATGGATGGATGGATGGATGGATGAATAAATAGACTCAATGGATGATGGATGGATGAATAGACTATAGATGGATGGATGGATGGATAAATGAATATACTATGGATGGATGAATAAATGATGGATATATGGATGGATGGATAAATAGACTAGATGGGTGGATGGATGAATAGACAATGAATGAATGAATGAGTAGACAATGAATGAATGGATGGATAAATATACGATGGATGGACTGTGAATGGATGGATAGATGGACTGACTGACTGACTATATTCTCTATAACTGCAATGACCCTTAAGAAAAGCACACATAAAGCTGACCGTTTAGCTCAGACTAAATGATGATTGAAAGAAGCCCTCTGGCTTGTCCTTGTTATTCAATTACATGAGCACCAGTCTAATACTAATTCAGTCAACAATCTACATCAGTTAGTCTTACAAACGCCAGCGGGAGCGTTCAGACTGAATCACACCACTTCTCATGTAAATGAATGTGATTGAATTTGATACCCTTATCACAAATCATCATCTGCATTCATTCTTTTGTGCATGTCACCTACGACAAGAAAATGCATGGGCCGCACAAACCGAACATGATTTTGTATCTGTTCTTCAGTGAATGTGAAGACTTCCAGTCGCATTTGTTTGTCTGCATGCATAGTTTAAAACCTCCTCTGCTTGCTTCTCTCAAAATAAATGAAATGTGAAGGTCACATATAAAGGCTTGTCATCAAGCCCTAGCGTCTGATGTGCAAATGAAGCAAGCCACTCACAACCCTGAAGTGCAAATGGCGTCCGAGTGTGATGTCAGATCCATTATACTGCATCTGATCTGCATTAAAAACCGTATTCTGCTTTGTGTTTGAGTGACGATAACATGACGGAAGCATATTAGACGGATCAACAATCGAAATTACTTTACATTTGGTCATATTAGTGGATATCATAGTGAATGTAGGATTTATTTTTAATGTAAGCGCATGTAGGCCTGTTTCTAACCATTATTGGGCCATCATGAATAAAGTGAACAGAAGCGGATATAAATGAGGTATTTTATATATTTTATACTCAGTCTTATTTCCTATAACTGTAACCTTTTATGTCTAAAATTGTCTGTTTCAACTTATTATTATACTCTACACTGTACAAAAAAAAAAAAAAAAAAACTTGTTGCCTTACATTTTTAAACTGAACTTAACTTTATTGTGATGTAAAATGGCTTGTGTAACTTATAAAATTAGGTCAGAACATGATTTATACTTTCATTTTTGACAGTGTATAATTTAGATTCTGATGATTTGTACTGCAAAATAAAATTATGAGCTATAAAAAAATTTACATTTTGAATAAAAATGTATTTGAACCTGTGAGAATTAATTAGAAGTGCTACAATTCACACTCAAAATACCTATTAGAATTAAAACTGCAGTATTAGACTTTTGCTCATGTGTTGAAAATACATTTTGAAATTCACACTTTAAGTTCTTGTATGTTGGATATGCAATATTTTAATTTTATTTATATATTGAAAATCTTAAAATCTCAGTATTCTGACCTTTTTTCTGGCATTTAATCTAAAAATATAACATTTAAAGTCTGAATTGAGGAAAAAGCTGCAGAATTGTGAGAGATAATCTTAATTATTTTACATTTTGACAAAATGTAGCCCATATACTGCACAAAATGGGGCTAATTCAAGCTGTGACTGAAACCCTTTCAAACAGTATATATTTGTACCTCAAATATCTTATTTAATACCTTAAATGACAATATTAGTACCTAGGAATTTCAAATGCATTAATATGAACCCTTTTAGAAGGTAAAAAGAAAATTCTTTGATCATTTAAAGTTTATTTTTTTAACTTTTTGTGCTTAGTGGACAATATGAGCAGGTCGAGCAGGATCAGGAACGCTGTGGAGGTCAAAATCAAACTAGAAATGCTGAAATTCACACTTTAAATTGTAAGTAAAGTCCTTGTAAAAGATGAAAAGGCAGTATTGGAATTTTATTTATGTATTGAAAACCTATAACCTCAGGAATCTGATCTTTTTTCTGGCATTCAATCTCGAAACATTTTATTTAAATTCTTAATTGACAGGAAAAAGTAGCAGAATTGTGAGAGAAAAACGTAATTAAATTTTGACAAAATATTGGCAAATTCAAGCTGTGGCTGGAATGGTACCCTTTCAAAAGATTTATGTTTGTAACCTCAAAACTTCTTATTAATAGCTTAAATGGACATATAAGTACCTAGAAATTTCAAATGTATTAATATGAACCCCTATTGATACAAACGTGTACCGTTTGAAAGATAAAAAGAAAATTCTTTGATCATTTAAATTTCTTTTTTTTTTTTTTGTGCTCAGTGGACAATATGAGCAGGTCAAGCAGGATTAGGAATGCTGTGGGGCTCAAAGTCAAGCTAGAAATGCTGAAATTCACACTCACAATTCTTGGTAAAAGTCCTTGTGAGATGGAAATGCAGTATTGAAATTTTATTTATGATTTGAAAACCTATAACCTCAAAACCCATTTAATCTCAAAATATAATATTTAAAGTTTAGCAAAACTGTGAGATATAAACTTAATTATATTACATTTTGACAGTATTTGCTAATTCAAGCACATATAAAGATATACAGTTGAAGTCAGAATTATTAGCCCCCCCCCCCATTGAATTCTTTTTCTTTTTTAATCTTTCACAAAATGTTTAACAGAGCATAGAAATGTTCACAGTATGTCTGATAACATTTTTTCTCCTGGAGAAAGCCTTTGTTTTATTTCGGCTAGAACAAAAGCAGTTTTTAATTAAAAAAAAAAATTAAGGTCAAAATTATTAGCCCCTTTAAGCTATTTTTTTCAGATAGTCTACAGAACAAATCATTGTTATACAATAACTTGCCTAATTACCCTTACCTCCCTAGTTAACATAATTAACCTAGTTAAGCCTTTAAATGTCACTTTAAGCTGAATAGAAGTGTCTTGAAAAATATGTAGTCAAATATTATTTACTGTCATCATGGCAAAGATAAAATAAATCAGTTATTAGAGATGAGTTATTAAAACTATTATGTGCTGAAATGTGTTGAAGAAATCTTCTCTCCGTTAAACAGAAATTAGGGGAAAAAATTAACAGGGGGGCTAATAATTCAAGGGGGCTAATAGTTCTGACTTCAACGGTATATTTGTACCTAAAAGGTCTTATTTCATATCTCAAATGTACATATTACGTAGAAATATAGGGAAAAAGTATAGTGTTGTATTAGAAATGCTAAAATTAACAAGTAAAAATCCTTGTGAGATGGAAATGCATTACTATTTTACTTATGTGATACCTTATAACCTCAGGATTCTGACCGTTTTCCTGGCACTTAATCTCAGAATTTGATATTTAAACTCTAAATTAAGAGGGAAAGTAGCAGAACTGTGA